TGCTGCTCCGCCAGGTGGCGGCGACCCGAAAGGCGCCACTCCTGCTCCGAGTCGGAGGAGGACTCCTCGGGTGCCCGGTTGCTCCTCCTCATCCTTCTTAGAAGGCTTTCCCGACGAAGGAGCGCAGCCGTCACTACGCTTCAAGCTCGCTCGGGCGGCAACTGCAACGGAACGGTCAAGCTCAACAGCACTCGAGAAAACCCATCCGCAATTGGAGACCCATCTCGTGCGAAGAACGTACCCAGCGGCCTCAACTTTAAAACTTGGCAGGAAATCCACAACCCAGCTCTTGCCCAGCAAACGCCCTAAGGACAGCAGGTTAAACTTCACAGGAGCAACAAGCACTTGGAGTTCTGTTACCACCGTCTCGCCCGAAACCAAAACGAATGGAACCCTGACAACCGCAGACCTCCGAACTCCAATGCTGTCACCCGTTGCAGAAACACACTCACTGGCAGACTCACTGTGGCTCACAACGTGCACCCGGCTCAAAGTGTCCTCGTTGATGATGTGGGCCGACGCGCCGGAGTCAACGAGCCACCAATCCATGGTGTCATGCTGCTGGCTGGCTGCTGCTGTCTCGTGCGCTACCATGCCATGGTCAGCTCTACCTACCACATGCAACATGTCATGCTCAACGACATTTTGAAAATCTGCAACAAAACGACCTGCTTCCAAGCTCAACTCTGGGGACTCTGCAAGCTCGACTGTGGTTCTGTCTGGGACCTGGTGGGACTCTGCAAGCTCGACTGTGGTTCTGTTTGGGACACCGCGGGACTCTGCAAGCTCAACTGTGGCTCTGTTTGGGTTGTCACAAGGAAAATTCTCAAGCGCAACATGCAACATGGAACCCTCAAGCGCAACAGGCTCACCGCCTTCAAGCACAACAGGCTCCGACCAAGCACACTCATAAGATGCAACGAACTCCTCCCAATCCTCCTGGGAAAAATCCGAGCAATCATCCTCATCAAGCTCAACAACCGGACAACTCAGATCAACCGCAGCTGCGAAAATCTGAGGCTCCAAAGAGGCAGCCGCGACCTGCGGCTCAAGCAAAGCAGCTGCTGATGCTCTTTCCCTCTTGGGCTTGGGACACTTATTCGAGTAGTGCCCGAACTGGTCACAGTTGTAACACTTGACGTTCTTCAAGCGCTCTGCTTTCTCCTTCTCCTTCTCCTTGTCGTTTCCAGAACCTTGCTTGCCGTCCTTTGCGGCTGCAGTCTTCCCCTTGTCCTTGCCTTTGTCCTTTCCACCTTTCCCTTTTTCTTCCTTTCCTTTCTCATTCCCTTTCTTGTTGTCCTTTCCTTTGTCCTTTCCTTTTCCTTTTTCTTCCTTTCCTTTGTCACCCTTCTTGCCCTTTCCCTTGTCTCCGAAGGTCAAAGCATTCGCGTGATCCTTTGCTGCTCCCTTTCCTTCCTTCTCTTGGAAATTCAGGATCTTAAGGTTGGCATCATAAAACTTCAAAGCAGTCTCAAGCTGGTCCATGGAGTCAACCCTAGCATGCAAAAGAACATACTTCTTCACTTCAACATCAAGGTTTCTCAAAACAATCATGCAACGGTCTGCCTCACTCAACGCAAGATCTGGGAACCCTGCGGTCAAGCGGGTAAACTTGGCAAGCTCCAACTGGATGTTTCGAAACATGTCAAGTGGACGATTGGCAGGAGTGCTCGCGCGGTACTGCAGGGCCTCATTCCGAAGCGTCGAAGCCTCGATGCGGCTCGCAACAGACAACTCCTGATGCAACCTCCTCATGCACTCGTACCCAGCTGGGGAGCCAAGCTGCTCCTTCTCTACTTGCTTAACCAAGTCAAGCCCACGAGCAAACCCTTGCAACGCTTGCTTCAGGTACAAGAAGGTCCTAGTTGAACGCACGCTCTGTCCCTTTTCAAGCGATGACTGCTTGATGGTGACCTCAGAAGCAATCGATCGATGAAGCTCTTCCGGGATCCTATCATCAAAGAGAGCAATCCACGGCAGGAATTGCTCTAGGAACTCAGCCCATCCTTCGATCTCCGAGCGACGGCCTTTGCTCATCTTTCCACCATCAATCGCAGGCAGCTTAGGAACATAAGCTTCAGCTTTGGGATTCCTGATGGGAGCACCTCCCTCATCAACCTCCATTTTCCCCGACGAATCGGAGATGGAGCTAAGCTCTCCACCGTGGCCCTTGCCTCTCGCAGTAGGTGGCGCAGGCACTTCCCTGCTCACAAGAGCCTGAACTAGAGACGTAAGCTGGGCAACTTGCTGCTGCTGCTGCACCGTCTGGTACAGAAACGTCTCCACGGTGGGCGGTGATGGTGCATTCACTGGCGAAACTCCACCAAACTCTGGCAAACCTGGTGGGGGTGGCAACACACCTCCAAGAGGGTTCGGCGAGCCAGCTGGGCTTCCCACCACCGGGCTTCCGGTTGGATGCATGCCCCGTTCCAGAGCCGACAAGTTCGACACCGGACTAAAAGCAGCACCCCGAGGCACACCGGCCTCTGGTAAGGCGGCGCAGCGTCTGACCTACTTTTCCTTCGGATCATACCAGGCTCACCTGGCACATCACCGATGTTGAAGTAGCTTGGCCTGCCACGGCCTTCCATTTCTCACAAGCACAACCAAGCGCCTCAAGTCAACGTATTGGGCTCTTTCTTTTGGTTGCAAGGCAACGAGCGTTCACCACGCTCCGCTACCACGTTAAAAACCTACAAGGCGAGCAGCCCTTCAGGTTTAAGGCAAACAAGTTCCAAGCACCCTTGCAAGCAAAGCAAGCTCACAAAACACTCGGACAGTTCACACTTTCAGCACGCACAGCTCACTGCTGGTCTCACGTGTCTTGAGCCAAACGACAGTAGTCGTGGCACCTCTTAAAAGCTCCCAAGCACTACAAAACAAGGGAAAAAACAGGTTGAGGCTACCGCAAAACCGTCAAGCAAGCTCAAACTACGTTCTACAGGCACTGACCACCTGAAACTAGCAAAACTGTACAACTATACAGGTACCGAGGAAAACTCTGTGTCGCACCTAAAACACTACTGGGCAGAGCACTGGTTTTCTACAGTGAAAGTGCCGCGGACACACCGTCCCTGGCTGAAGCGGTGGCCACGCTGCAGCGTTGGTCCAGACAGTGGACTCCCAAGCCTTGCGCCAGAGTGAGCAGATTGAACCCACCCTCGTTGTTGGGGGGGTGTTCAGCTGGTGCCTCACGTGCGACGGCGCCACCCTGGATACTTTTTGTCAAAGCCGCTTGGCTTAGTCATTGCGAAGTGTTGTCCTGAAAGCAAGGACAATACCTGTCATGTGAAATTGGCAGAAAGATGCTTTGGCGTGGCAGCCTCACATCTCGCAGCCATTCGCAGCCCAGCTCAGGAGACCAAGGACCTTCATAACGTGGGCAGCTGCTCGCAATGCGGCACCTTCAATTTCTGCCAAAACTATCTTGAAAAACCGGCCCGGGCTGGATTGGCCACAGTTCACTGGGCAGAAGAGGAGAAGAGCATGTAAGGCAGGGCAGAGTCTTCTTTTACTCTTTCCATGTTTGAGCTTCCGGTTATTTAGCTCAGGATTGTTGGGAACTCTTCATCATGTTGGCAGCTGCACACAGTGCGGGGGGTCAAATTTTTGTGGACCCTTGCAGAAGAACACGCCGGACGTTGAAAGGGATTATGTGACAGGTGAGGTGTTGGGAGATTGGGTTGCGACAAGCTCCCGCCTCTCCGATTTTGCTTCGGAACTCCGTCAGTGGAGCCATCTATGTCGTGGAGGAACCTCGATGAACATTCCAGATGAGGCCACTTTGGCGTCCCAACTGGCCTGATCGTGGTGCTTCCAAGAAATCTTTTAAAGATCATTATTTACTATGTCGAGACTGCAGGCGGAAACCGCAATAAGCCAAATACGTCATCAACAAGAAAAGCTGCAGGCATTTTCGCTCTGTCAACCATGCAAGACTTCTTGAAGTTTGCACACATCGTTTCATTGGCCAGCTGATTGTTTCGGTTTTCAGGACAGCGTTGTTGCATGGCATCATAGTTTGGAAGCCAGTCCAAAACCAGCCACGGTTCCCAAGAAGTCCGAAGATATGATTCGAATTAGCAATATCGCTACATTGTTGCACACGGGGACGGTGACACTTATCATCGATGTGAATGTAGCCATGGTAGTAAAATCGGTGTGTCCTGAAGGTCCTTGACGATGTAGCCAGCCATAAGATCAGTAGATTCGGCGCAAGGAAGACGTAGACAACTGCGCTCCACTTCAAACGTGTTGCCATGGGTGTCCGAAACTCAAACAGCTGAACTCTTCAGCCCCTGCATGATATTCAATGAAGGCATGATCAGATGACGCTTTGCGCTTGCAGCAGCTTCGCCATCGCTGAGGTCGTGCATTGTTGTGAAAGCCCCGAGGGTTACGATAAGGCGCTGACACTCCTATTCTGCAACAGGTCTGATTGGTCAGCAATGATCGGTCATGTACATGCACACCTGTGACGTGCCTCTCGGCTCTACTAGGGGCCCCTTGTTCGTACTGGCGGCTAACCGTCCGCCATGGCCACGATCGAGCGTTGAGCTCGCGAGTGGAAAACAGAGCTGAGTGCTCTTTGCGTGTGGAGCCCAATCACTATCTACCGACTGCCGCTACTCTCGCTGCATTGGTAGCGGAGCAGTTCGATCCGGTGGCCAACCTTCTTCTGTACCACTGGTTACGTTCTGCTCCGAACGAGGACGACAGTCCCTGCAGCGCAAGCTTTCTTCTGGACCTGGACTGCGTCCGCCCGTGCTACGACTGGACGGTTTTCTCCGATTTCCTATTCTTCTTTTCAGTTTTACTTCAGAACGATGAGTGGTGCAAAGGAAAGATCCTTTGTCCCAAGCTGGGACGGCTCAGCTCGATCCTGGCGTCGCTACACTCGTGAGGTGGCATGGTTTGTTCAAGGAACGGCAGTTCACAAGCGCAGGTACTGCGCGTCACAGTTGCTTGGACGGTTGACCGGTCCGGCCAGGCTTTTGGCCATGAGCTGGTCCAAGATGTTCGTGGACAACCGATCTGGCACACGGCTTCTTTTACAGAAACTGGCTGCCAGTCCCTTGGTCAGACGTAACCTCCCGAACGCAGCCGCTACCTGCTCGCAGTACTTTGCCTTCCGCAGGAATCACAACGAGTCTATCGGGAACTTCCTGGTTCGGGAGACGCTGGTGCACGAGGAGTTCGTCGAAGCGATCTTGAGACTGTGGGAAGATCGTCAAGGAATCTCGCAGGAGCAGCGAGACTTTGGTCTTCCTGCTGACGAGGAAGACTGGACTGATGACGATTGGCGCAGCTGGCCCTGGTGGTCGTGGGGTGACGACGATCACCATGATGACGACGACCATGAAGGACCAGGCCCTGATCTTTCTCCCGGAGCTGCGGCTGATCTTCCCCCAGGCGACGCTCCTCCTGCTGATGATGGACCAGCTCCTGCTGAACCTGCACGAGGTGCGACTGGTTCCTCTCCGAGTCATCGAGCTGAGGCGTCAGGACTTCTTGGAGATACGTCGGCGATCCCTCGAGAGGCTAAGGAACCACAGGTCCTCGATGAGTTGACGCTTGCGGATAGCTTCATCATGAATTTTCTTCGAGGCTGGCGGCTCCTACAGGCTGCCGGGTTGTCACCCGATGAGATGCGGGACATCCTGTCCACTACCAAGAATAGCCTGGACTTCGAGATGATATCTGCTGCTTTACAGAATCTGTGGGACGATCAACTGTTGAGCAGCCGAAACCGAGGGAAGTCCGGCTACACGGCCTATACGGCGAACTACGTGCAGGAGCCGATGGAGTCCGACCTCTACTACCAGGACTCGTGGGAAGGTGATGGTGATCATTGGTGGGACGAGGGCTATGGACACGCCTACTACGCGGATTACGATCACTACGCGAACCACGCCGGCTACGAGGACGGCTGGTGGGCTGAGGATTGGACTGCCGAAGATCCTGGAGCAGTGCATGCAGCCACTACACAGGAAGCGGATGATGACAAAATCCGCGAAGCTCAGCAAGCCGAAAAGATGGCTGAGTCCTTGGCCTTGGAGGCCCAGCGCACATGGTCGGAAGCGCAGCGAGCGACCCAACAGCTGCGTAAGGACCGTGGTTTTGGCGCCAATCCTGTTGGCGGCCCTGCCAGGTGCTACAACTGTGGAGGACCTCATCTTCTACGAGACTGCCCTCGCCGTGGAGGTTCCTTTCAGAAAGGGCCCGGGAAACCCAAGGGCAAGTTCGGATATGCTGCGGACCTCGAGGCCTACTACATGAAGGGTAAAGGCAAGAGCAAAGGCAAGCACAAGGGCAAGAAGGGGATGTACATGGATGCTGATGCCATGTGGAAAGGCAAAGGCAAGGGACCAGACTGGTCCCAGCGATCGGTGAATGCCTACAACGCCGATCTCTTTGGCATGGAGCTCTCCTCTGTGATGGACCTGGCGACCTCGACTACAGCTGATGTTCAGCGACCTGAGCGTGGCATGGTAGACTGTGGTGCAACAGCCTCAGCCGCGCCAGAGGCTGTGGTGAAGGGGCTGATAGCCTCGATTCTCGAGAAGGACAGCGGAGCACGTGTGGACATCGATCAGAGTGCTCGGCCATACTTTCGCTTTGGTGACGGTCGCTGGGGCAGGGCTTTGTATCGGGTTCGTCTTTGCAGCCATGTTTCGGGAAAGTCTAGATCCTTCTCGCTCTACGCCTTGCCAAACCCCAAGGAGTACTATCAGCTTGATTTCGACAAAACCAACCTAGTTCCAATCTTGATTGGCATGGACTTTCTTGGCAAGGATGGTTGTGGGATGCTAATAGACTTCACAACTGGGTTGGCTATGTGTTCTCATGCCAACCTCCGGAAGCTGTTCAGCTATCACAAAATCGCAAGGGACACTTTCTGTTGGATGTGTGTGAGTACCTCACCCGTGGTCATGTCAATCGTGAGGCCCATGCGCATGTGGTTGTGTCCTCAAGTGAATGCGGTGCTGCCAGTTCAGAGATGCACGTGATCGAATTCCATGTTGTGCAGTTTGATCTAACCCACAGTGACGCTGTGTATGAACAGTCTGAGCTGCAGAAGTCACGAGAGAAGCTTTGGCATCTTTATCAGTTGTCCAGACAACATCGTGGCCTACCTGCTGCAGCCAGCTCTTGCTCAATGCTCGCGACTTCGCAGTCGCTCGAGAACCCCTCAACTTCCTCCTCGCGGACTTCTGATCATGGCGGCTTCGGCGCCCTCGCACATCGACAAGGAGACGGAAGCCATCCTGGTGGCGTCCGCCAAGGCCAAGACGGCCAAGAAACGAGCCAACTCGCTCGACCCATCGCGGCGAATGAAGGCAGACCCTCGGGATTCAAGGGTGTCGGTCCGGAGCTGGCCGTGCTACGGTCAACACCATCCTGGCCCTCCCGGGGCCAATGCTCACGGCCAGTGGATTCACTGTCAGGTTTGCGACCTGAGGCTCCTGTACACTGTACACTCCTCGAAAAGGGTCACCTTCGAACACGACGGTGGTGCACAATCCACAGATGGTCAAGAGAATGCTTACCGAGCTGGAGGCGATGTTGGGAACAACGAAACCAACAGCAAAGGTGTGCCACCACATGTTTGCCAAGATCACGGCCGAGGAGGTGCTCAACAAGGCGGTCCGCGAGCTGATCACTACACCGGGAACAACCTCGGCTACGACGCGGAGGCCTACGACGCAGCGCGGATACGCCACGAATGTGATGGACAACGACGAGGAGGAGCTGATTGTCGACTACGAGATCCCAGTTGTGGAAGACCCGTGAAGTCCAAAGACTCCGACTATAAGGTCAAGCCGCTTGGGCAGCATGTCGCCAAGAAGGTGATGGTTCTGGCGAGTTTGATGACGTCAGCGGTGACTTCTACACTTCTTGGTCTACGCCTTGATGGTCGAGATGGACTGTGGGAGATCGCCAGTGCCCCGCACAGTTGGATCACTGAAGCCAGCGAGCAGCAGGGCATCCCCGCGAAGGCCATCAACTACCAGAACGGCTACGACCTCTACAAGGAGGAGACCTGGCATCGACTTGGTGCTCTTCGAAGACTTCATCAACCTCGGAAGCTGTGGTTTTCCCTGCCGTGCTCGGCTGGGAGTCCCTGGGTCAAGGTTTCAAAGGGCGAGGCGGTGCACAGTGACAACAGTGCCACCACACGTCGGCACAACGACGACTACTACATTTAGCCCTGGACTTTGTCAAGGAGACCCTCCAAGAGGATCCCGAGGTTGACGTCTACTGGGAATGGCCTACGGACAACCACGGCTGGCGACAACCGGGTGTGCTACAACTGGAGCAGTGGATGCGTGACCAAGGTTTCGAATGGCTCGGATGTCGTGTTGATGGATGCAACTATGGCTTGCGACACCCAGAGGACAACGACTTCATTCACAAACGGTGGAGTATCTACGCTGGCGGTCAACTTGTTGATAGCGTTTTAAAATTCTTGATTTGAAAAACTCGGGGGAGTTTTGTTTCTGATGAGACTTGGTGCAGCAGAATACATCTCCGTGCAGTGTGAGCCACAGTGGCTCAGAAGAAAAATTTTCATTCGAGGCCTTCTAAGCTCCTAGACATTCTAGCAGGCTCCGGGTGCTATCACGAGGTGCAGCCTCCTTGTATGAGCCATACCTCCGCCACCAGTGCGGGTTCGTCGGTGGTGCACCCCAGCTCCCTGCGGGCTGTTGAGGATCTGCTACAGGATCAGATCTCCTCTTTGCAACTTCGGGTTACGGCTTTAGAGTTCCGCTTGCACGGGCCGCTTGAGTCTGCCAGCCCCGCCTCGGGCTCTTCTAGTGTAGTGCTTGGGTGCTTCGAAGACCTCTTCGACGATTCTGCACTAACTGCCAACCTTTGGGCCTTTCTGCCCTGCCAGGAGCGCTTGCTGCTTCTGCAGACGTCTTGGTTTGTGAATACCCAAGTCCTGCCTCAGTTGCTTTGTGCTGCTGCCACCCAGGGATGGCCGCACCAGATGTCTCCGCCTCCTCAGATCCCGCGCTTTCCTCGGACAATGTGGGGGTGGCTTCAGGAGTTGCAGGGGTGTTGTTGGAGTCGGGACCGTTGAGTGTGGGTCCCATAGCTTTGGAAGACGGAGAACCGCAGCTTCCGGTCGCTTCCGAAAGCATCCCAGCCTCTTTGGAGGATGCACAGGGTCCTGGCGAGGAGCTGCCGGGCGATGTACCTTCTCAGCCGGCCGAGCCGGTCCGGGAAGAGCACTTGGCAAATTATGATTTCGATGAGCAAGAGGAGCTAGAGTATTATCGAGAATACGACGATGGGTTTAGTGAGGCCTTGCGAAACCTTTCCGCTGATGCAGAAGCTGAGGCTGCTCTTGACAGGGCGCTCCACAGTCTTGTAGGTAGTGAGGAATGCATGAGCGAAGTGACCGAACAAGGTGTCGGCTTGCAGTCGTGAGGCCGATCCTGTCTTTGTACAAGAGCAGGTCATGAACGAGCTTGTACGGCACCCAGTGCCGCCACGAGGATTTCAGCTTCCGTGGGAGCGAGGTCCCATGAAGAGCATCTTTGCCGATAACTTGCCGAGCTTGCCAAGCTTGAAAGGGATGCCAAGACGTAGCATGCCGGAGCCCCCCCCGCTGTGATTGCACCGAGTCTTTCGCCAGCAGCTAAACTGCCCTCGCCGTCCGAGCCAATCTTTAAGCTGGTTGTGAAGGTTGTTAAGGATGTGGGATATCTTGAACGCCGTGAGGAGTTGCTTCAGGTTGGAATCCACAAGTTGGCCATCAACTTAGAGCTAGTGGGTAATGCCTTTGTTCCCCCGGAACTTCTGCACCAAGGGCAGGTCGATGCTGAGTCGCTGGAAGCGGCGATCGGGGTGAGGAGTCCTCTCACACTAAACAAGCGTGTAGGCAACCTTGCGAATTACTTGAAGTGGTGTATGGAGTCGTGTGTTGAGAGTGGCTGTTACCTACACGAGGCCACCGTGTGGAAGTACCTCAGCCACCTGAGACATTCAGGCTCGCCCCCGTCGCGAGGAGCCGACTGTGTATCCATGTTTCGGTTCTTACACCATGTGTTGGGTCTGGACCTTACGCACATCCTCAAGAGTAGACGTGTCAGCGGAATCACTGAACAGATGCGCACCGGCAAGGGTTGGATTAAGCAAGCATCGCCCCTCACGGTGAGTGAGATCCTGTACCTGCACCGGCTGCTGGAGCAGCGGGAGTTGCACAAATACGACCTTGCGATGGTAGCATACATACTCTTAGCCTTATATGCAAGAGCCAGACATTCTGACCTGGCGGATGTTCAGAATGTCACGCATGACCACTCACCGGCGGGAGGATTTCTCATCATTGAGCTGGGTCAGCACAAGACGCGACGTGCACAGGCGCGCTGCAGAGAGTTGTTGCCGGTTCTCATCCCGGCCATCGGGGTGCACGGACAGACGTGGCTGAATGCAGCTCAGGAGTGTTTGGAAGATGCAGGCTTGAAGCTAGAGGGTGAGTTGAGGGGGCCCATCCTGAGGGCCCCCGCCAACTCATATGGCGACACCCTTTGCCTGCGTGAAATCAGGTCACATGAGATCACAAATTTCCTCCGGAAGATTCTTCTGCCAGTGTCGAGCAAAGACAGGTTGTCATGTGTGTCATCGCATTCACTGAAACGAACCCTTCTCTCTTGGGCGGCAAAGTTTGGATTGAGTGACGATGTTTGTACGGTGTTGGGCCGCCACACTTCGGCGACCGTCAGCTCACGAGCCTTGTATGCTATGGATCTTGCCACGGCTCCCGCGCGGGAGCTGCAACGCATGTTATTGGAAGTGGCTGCGAAGCGCTTCGCACCTGATGCTGCCCGGTCAGAGTATTTTCCCTTGAGGTCACAAGCTCTCGAGTCGAATGCACGGACGCTGCATGAGCAGGATCAGGCCCTTCGTCCCTCAGGCTCGGACGTGAAGACTGAAGTCGCTGCTGCAGCGGGTCCCATTGCCGACCTACCTGGTCCAGTCTGTGTAGACTCCGACTCCGAATCATCATCTTCCAGTGAGAGCTCCAGCTCTGCATCCAGTGATTCGGGGGAAGCCCCCCCCAGAATGCCTGCCAAGGTACCAAGGCTGGACGCGGTGTGGCCGCGTCACGAAGTTGCTGTGCATGTGAAGTCTCGCATCGCACACAGGATCGTCTTCACCTCGGAGGGAGGAACAATGGTCTTCGCTTGCGGGCGCTCAGGGTCCCAAAATTTTGAGAAGCTCCAAGGCTCACGAGAAGCAACGGCATTTTGCCAGACATGTCGGAAAGCCGACAAGTAGGCTGCGAACTGCAGCACAGGATGTAGCCTCAGGGCTAGTGAGTCCTTCCAAGGGGAAGTGAAAAGATGGTGTCCGTGCGATGCCAGAGGGGAAGTGTGTCATCTGTTGAGCTGAGCATGTGCAGGGGGGGATGAACATGTGTAGGTAGCTGCTTCCATCATGCGTGCGTGAATGGGTTTTATTTCCCGCCGAAAGTGTAGACAAAGTTTTGTCGTAAAAGGAAAACAGTGTTTTCACTTGTGTGTTGTGAACACTAGACAAACTTTGCCGTGCAGCTTTCGGCTTGAAGGACAATTGTGTCAACAGTATTGTGGCTGCCCATTGCCACTTCTGCGGCAGCGCCGTTGGAGGTTTTGCGTGCAGGTTCTGCACGAGAAAGTGCTGCGAGCAGGCAGGCAGCAGTGCGGCCGATGCCTGGCATCCTAGGCCTCACGTCTGCACCCCAAGGCTCCAGGTGGTCATGCATTCTTCTCTTGTTGGGTGCACCTGCTGGCTTGTGCCTGTGGCAGTGCTGCAAGCACGCACAAGCAGCGCCGCGTGTGCTTGGCCCCCCCGTGGGGAGGAAGATGACACGCTAAGTTACAGTCGAGGCTTAAGCACGTCCTTGCCTGAGAAGGGCGCGTCAGAAAGAAAATGGAGGCCAGTGGCTACGCCTACCACAAGGATGGTAAAGACAATGGCACGGGTAGCTTTGTTCGCACCCTCAGCGAAGGGAGTAAACACAGGAAAACGCAGCCTCGGCCTGCCAGTGGGAAAGCGCAGGGCCAGCGGCTGCTGCAGCCTCCACGTACGTCGTCGGTCCCGGTGCAATGCCACCTCCTAGCATCACTGTCCGGCAGAGCCATGGACAACGCAGGGCGCACGTGCAACCGGAGTCCATACTGGCACTGTAGCCTTGCAGTACTGGGGTTAGTAACCCTTTGGCCAGCGGCATGCACCGAGGCGTCTTCGGCAGTGCCGTGTCGCTTTGCTTTTTGTCCGCAGCGCAGTCTGCCAGATATCCTCGAGCAGGCCTTGCGAGAGGTATGCAATGAAGAGGTAAGTTATCTCTTGTGGGTTGTGAGCAGTGCCACCCGCGTCGTTGCGGAGGACGTCAGTGACGATCACTCCGATTTCGCCGTTGAATGAGCTCCGGGAGGCCTCGGTGGGGTCTGTTTTCCGCCGTGTCTGACTCACAGTGCAGTTTTGTAGTTCCAAGCCTAAAGTGCTCGTAAATGGTGTGCTTTTTGGTGTGAGGACCCGCTGCGAGTCCCTAAGGGCCCCTGCGTGTCCCTAAGGGCCCCTGCCAGTTGCTAAGGGCCCCCTGCCCGCCTTTTCCTGTGGGCTCGCATTAGTAATGACGAGCTTCTGTGTTGCCTTAAGGCAGTGCCGTGCAGTGCGCGCACAAGGCCCCAGAGCCCGAGCCCTTAATGCAAAGTTTGCATTGGCACCTTGGCCAAAGCTTGGCGTCGCTGGTATCCATTCGCTTCGTGAGTGACGCCAGCACGGACTCGGCAGTGCCGCTTGTCCCTCGATTCCTCCAGTGTGCTCAAGTGGATGTTCGTGAGGATGTCAACATTAGGAGATAAGTTATCTCCTTTTCGCAGTCATAAATATGCTGGATGTCAGCTGGGGGGCAGTGTCCCGAGGCCTGAGGCCGCCCTACAGGCTTCTTAGTTTTCAGTAAACTGTGTTGTGAATGCTCCATGCTGTCAAGTTTTGGCGCGGACTGCTCCCGCAGGTCCTTCAGTGCAGCTTCGGCAGGCAGCAGTGCTGCCGATGCCTCACTTCCTAAACCCCGGGGCAGTGCCTCGAGGAGTAGGGCCCTCCGCTTGATTCTTGGTGGTTAGTGCACTGTCTGCCAATGCTTGGTGTGGGTCCAGGCTTTCGTGCGGAGTCCGCAATAAGCTCTGAACCTCTGCTCTTGTTTTCCCCCAAGGCAGCCGTGCGTGTAGCAGTGCTACAGGCATGCAGGCGGCAGTTTTGCCTGCGCATCCTACACCTCAGGGCAGTGCATCGAGGCTTGCACTCCTTCGCCTGCTTCTTGCTGTTTAGTAAACAGTTTGTCAATGCTTGGTGTCCGTCAGGGTCTTGTTGTTAACTCCGCGCTAGGCCCTGCGACCGTTGCTGTTGCAGGGTCGGCCCCCAAAGCATGTTGTTCGCAGCGCAGTGCTGCAGGCACGCATGCAGCGGTGCTGCTAATGCCTCGCCTCATACGCCTGAAAAGTGCCCTGAGGTTTGAGGCCTTCAGACTTTCGAGTGTAGCGTGGTTTGTAGCCGTGTTACGTGTCAGCATGCAGCAGCGCTGCTAATGTCTGGCATACTTATCCTCAGGGCAGTGCCTTGCCCAAGCAGGAAGTGTTTTTGCATGCTTCCTACTGTTTGGTCCACAATGCTGCGACGCTTCGTCCCGGTTGGGATTTTGGTGCGAAGTTCGCGCAAAGCCCTGTGGATGTAGCAGTGCTACAGGCAAACAGGTCGCAGTGCTGCCGTTGCCTCTATCCTAAACCTCAGGGCAGTGCCTCGAGGCTTGGAATGTTCACGCGGCTCCCTGCTGTTTCGTGAGCAGTGTGACAACGATGTTGCCGGCCGTGGTTTTGGCGCGGCGTTCGGTTTGGTAAACAGTTATGGCAATGCTTCGTCCCGGTCGGGTTTTTGGTGCGAAGTTCGCGCCAACCCTGCGTATGCAGCCGTGCTGCAGGCCAGCAGCAAACAGGCATGTGATGTGGTTCCTTCTCGTTTCGCAAATAGTGTGGCATCGTTTGTTTTGGTGCGGCGTTCGCGTCGAGCACCGCGGTCACTGCTGTCCTACAACGCAGCGTAAACGTACGGCCGCGCTAATGCCAAGCATGCAGCAGTGCCGCTGCTGCCTCGCATGTCAAACCTCAGGGCAGCGCCCCGAGGAGTGCAGGCGGAGCGTGCGGTCCTCATGCACGTTCCTTCCCGTTTAGTAAACAAACGGCCAGGTTTAGTGCAGGTCGCGTGCCTCATGGCTTGAGATCTTCATGCATGCTGCTCACTGTTGAGTAAGCAGTGATGGCGGTGCCTGTTGCCCGTCAAGATCTTGGTGCGGAGTCCGGCTGTTGCTGTTGCGGGGCTTCCAGTTTTGTGCAGCAGGGCTGTCGACAAGCAGGCAGCAGTGCTGTCGTTTCTTCGCGTCCTAAACCTCAGGGCAGCGCCCTGAGGCCTGCGACCTTCATGCGGGCTCCGTACTGTTTAGCAAACAGTTAGGCCACGCTTGACGTCGGTCATGGGTCTTTGTGTGGAGTACGCGCCAGGCCCTGCTGCCGCTGCGGCACACCCCAGCAGTTTCGAGCAGTGCTCAACCTGCTAGGGAAGCGATGCAGTGGTCATGCAGCCATTTTTAAGGGCAGTGCCCACAAAGCACTCTCGGGTCGATGGGCAGACAGCGTGCGTTCCTGTGGCAGCGCCACTGCTGCACGAGTGGGCCTATTGGTCATCCCAGGGCAGTGCCCGGGACCGCAGGCATTTCAAGCAGGCTTGGCAGTTGCAGTGCCTCATGCCCTGCCTTGACGAGGCGCGTCGCCCCAAGCAAATGCTTGCTCGTAAGCAAACTCGCCTCTGTGTGCTTCCTGGGCTACCGCCGGTCCAGCCCAGCGCTCGGACAGTGTCTGCGGCCTCTCTACGCCCGGTTTTCTAACTGGACAGTGTTTATAATGACAGTTGCAGACTCGGAGGGCTCCAGCAAGCAAGTCCTCGCGCGTCCGTGATGCGCAACCCATACTATGGGCCACTCTCTTGCTACGCGCCCTCTGAGTCCGTGACGTGTGCCTGTGCGTGCTTCCAAGACGCAGGTGGCACCTTTGGCTGCAGCGCAGGAGCCGTTGCTTCTCAGCTCTGAGCAGCACCAGCAGAGATTCGATTTCACCGCGTGACTCACAGTGTGAGCAGGCAGTTTTAGGCTTCAAATTGTGTGCGAATGGCCGACTTTTTGGTGTAAGGGCCCGCTGCGAATCCCTAAGGGCCCTCAGATGCACACAGACAGCCTCGCAGACAGTGTCTGCTGCGAGCGGCCTCTGTCCGCGTGCCGCGCTTTCGTGAATCTCAGTTTTTGCTTCAAGAGACGAGAGCCAGTGGCTTTTACATAGCTCCCTCATCCCGCCAGTTCCTTTCAACGTGGGAGCGCACTCACAGCGCGGACTCACACAGACAGCTCTGCGAGCTGTGTGTGTTGCACACGGCCCTGAGATGCTCTATAAGATGCCTGGTTTCGTTTCAAGTAAACCAGCCAATGGCCCTCGCATAGCCCCGTGGTCCCGCACAGTGCCTTGGAAACAGGAAGACGCACACGCAGTGCGGACGCCGCAGACACCTCCGCAGACAGCGTCTGCCGCGGGCGGCCTCTCCACAGGACGACCACGTTCACGCAGGCACTGCAAGAGCGCACACACAGTGCGTACGCACGCAGACAAACTCGCAGACAGTGTCTGCTGCGAGCGGCCTTTGTCCACTAAAACACGTTTTCGCGGAGCTCAGTTTTGGTTTAAGGATAACAGAGCCAGCGAATCTGGTGCAGGTGCACTACAGCATGCTCAAAGATGCAATTGTGCGGGCCCTTCAATCTCAGACAGGCTGCGCGAACGCGTCAGTGTACGCAGTTACATGCGCCACTTCGTCTGGCGCACTCGCCAAGGCGGACTGCAGCGAACGCGTGCTTGGAGACAACTGCAAAGTTTGCAGTGCAGAAGGCCTCCACAGCCCGACAAGGCTGCCGCTGCAAGGCAGCCAGCGGGTTAAATCACGGCTTCTAGCTTTCTGCTGGTTGCCGTGGGCAGTAGCCACTTCTACCGGTGGTTCCTGCCAGTGGCAGTTAGTACCCTGTGCTCAGCGTTCCCTGGCAGTCATCCGGCACCGGCTAGTACTGCGCAGTGCGCAGTGCAACCGCAGTGCCTCGCTGCCTGCTGCTTTGTCGTTGTGAAGCCACGACATTACAGTTGCCTTAGTAAGGCGGTCCCAGAGATTACTGGGAACAAACAGCAGGCTGAATGCAGTGCGTTCCTACCTGCCAATACGTGGCTGCTACAGTGACATATCGCCTCAGTGAGGCAGACCCAGTGAACACTGGGAACAAACAGCAGGCTAGATGCGTTGCTGCCTGCCACTTTGCGGTTGCGGCAATGCAAAGTTGCTTTCGGAAGGCCGCAGCAGTAAATACTGTGTACAAACAGCAAGTTCAGCGCAGTGCGTTGCTACCTGCCAGCTTGCGGTTGCTACGGTGGAAACTTGCCTCGGTAAGCTTGCCTTTGCTCAGCGGAATTTTGGAATTTTTTTGGCTTGTTTTTACAAAAGTCTTAAAATGAATTGATTTCCGAGACACATAAATAAACATCGTGGCCCGAAAAGTTATTTTCGGTTCTCGGGGGCCATGGGTGTCGTTTGTTGTGGTGGTTGTTGTTGTTGTTGTCGTTGTGTTGTCATTGTCTTTGCTGCCTCTGATGTTGCTGTTGTTTATGGCGTCATTGTGGTCGTGTGGATGTTGCAGTTGCTGCTGCTGCTGCTGCTCTTATTTTTTGTTTGTGTGTGATTGCTTATTGTGGTAATTATTGTCGCTTATGCAATTATTGCCATTGATAATGCTATTGCCACTGGTAGTATTGTTATTGATATTGGTATGAACTACTATTACTGTTGTTGCTGCTGTTGCTGTTGCTATTCTTGCTGTTGTTGTGGTTGTTGATGTTGTTGCTGTTGTTGCTGCTGTTGTTATTGCTGTTGCTCTGGTTGTGGTGGTGGGTGTTCTTGTCATTGTCGTTATTGTTGTCGTTGTTGTTGTTGCTGTTGATGTTGTCGTTGTTGTTGTTGTTGTTGCGGCTGTTGGTTCTATTGTTGGCTCTGCTGCTGGCGCTGTTGTTGTTGATGTTGTCGTTGTTGCCGTTGCTGGTGTTGTTGGCGTCAACATTGTTGCTGGCGCAGTTGCTGTTGCTTTCAATGCTGTTGTTGTTGTTGCAGTTGCTGTTGCTGCTGCTGCTTATTACTACTGCTACTGCTACTGCTTCTGCTACCGCTACTGCTGCTGCTGCTGCTACTGCTGGTGTTGTTGTTGTTGTTGTTGTTGTTGCTGTTGACGGCAACCCTAAACCCTCTTCACGGACTTTAGTGAACAAAGTTCATAAGGTCTACAAGCTTTCCCCGAGAGTGTGACATCCACTCACCGAGAAATGAAAATACCTTGAACATGATTTTAACCTGCATTCAGCCACATGCGAACTTGAACTGCTCGTAATCAACAATAAGTTTCCGTACGTGCAGACCAAGGATGATTGAGCAGCTCATGAAGGGAAGAATAAGCGGTGAGTTGAAAAGTATGCCTTCAACATCATGGGTCTGTCTGAAAGAAAACATATCCTATCCAAAACCACCTGGGGTTGAGAGACGCCTGAGCCCAGGGTCACTTTTTCTCAGCCAAGCGCTCACAAGACCACAGGCTCCCGAGGCTATAAATCTCAAACCGGAGTTTAGGCTCAGTTTAAGGGTCAGGGCTCAGGGATTTCTGTGAATCAAATTAGAACTTAACTTTGAGAATGTGTGTGAACCGAACATGCGTTGAGGAACTGAAGCCTGCGGGAAGGTTGAAAGTAAAACTGGTAGGATTGATGGCCGAAGCAGCCCTTAAAAGACTGATGGCCGAAGCAGCCTGCGAAGCCGAAGCAGCCTCGCACCTGGCCGAAGCAGCCTGCGAAGCCGAAGCAGCCTCGCACCTGGCCGAAGCAGCCGAAGCAGCATGCAGCTGCTCACGTAGCGAGAGGATCCCAGACGTCGTCGTCGTCGTCTTCCTCTGGTTCTTCGTCCTCTGCTTCTTCCGCGTCATCGTCTGCGGGTTCTTGATCCGCATCCTTTTCGGCTTTCTTCTTTGCTTTAGCCTTCTTCTTTGGCTTAGCCTTGGGATCAGCCTCCTGCTCCTCAGCCTTGCGCTTGGGAGTAGCTTTTGTTTTGGGCTTCTTTTTGGGATCTGCATCAGGTGCTGGAGTTGCTTTGGCCTTGGGAACCTTTTTGCCCACCGCCGCTGCGTATTCCGAATTGAAGAGCGGACTTGCTGTGTCACACATCTCCAGCTTCATCAAGTCAAGCAGGTGCTCTTCCAAGAATTGGCTGTGTTCAGGGGTGAAGGTTATTCCCATGTAGCCCACCCTGGCCTTCAGCGCTTCGAAAGCGAATCGGCCGTCGCCTGGCGTTAGGTCGATGACCATCTTCGCCCAAAAGGAGTGCATGAGCTCTGAATAAAATGCCCCAGGCATAGAATGAAAGCAAACTGGTTCGGGCTTGTTGCCCAGGCGATCCATGTCTGATTTTTCTGTTTCTTCTGTGGTTTCAGTCTTTCCCCCAACGGCGATCAAATGTTTTTTCCCGTAAAGGGTCTTCTTCTGTTGCCATGGGAGGCACCACTCAGTGGACAGTTTCGGCAGGTCCACTCCTGAGATGAGGTCGCCTGTGCTTGACCCCGGCCCGTAATGCTTGCGCTCCCTGGCCGGAAGAGAGAGCCTCTTGGAAGACAGCACGTGCGCCCACTCAATCTGTTTGATCGTGCATGTGCCTCTTTTTTTTTGGCGTCGGGCGTTTAGGCTCGCTTCGGTGTAGCCAATCTGCAGCAAGTCACAGACCAGGTTCGGCCGTGCGTCTTCCTCCTCCTCGCAGTCGTCGTCATCCCCGTCGCCATCATCTTCATCCTCGTCTTCTTTAGTAGACCCTTTCGCCTTGGCTTCTTTGCGGGTGCCGTCTTTCCAAGGGTTGATAAGCTTTTGCTTGGCGCCCTTCTTGAAGCCGTCCAGCAACACTGCGACTTCGCCTGGCTGCAAAGCCGCTGCTGAGCCTTCGCTTTGCCTGGCCGTCATGACGGCACGGACGAGGCGTGTGTACGGTCCATCCCGAAGGGGCGGTAGACGAAGGTCTGGCCTGGTCGCAGACTCACCGAACTTTTTCACATCGAAGTGTAACAGCACCAGACCCGTCGGGTCCCCCTTGAGTTTCGAAAACGGGCAGTCGCGGATGGCTTGTTCAAGGTCGGAAGCGGCTTTGTGGTCGGACACGAAGCGAACTTGACTGCGAAGAGTCTTGAGCATGAACTGCCTCCATTGTTGTTGTTCGTCTTTCGTGAGTTTGGCCTCTTCTGCGGCCGAAGCAGCCGAACCAGCGCCCGTCGACGATGATGGGGCATCGCCAGACCCTGCCGGAGCAGCCGGGACTTCAAACAGAACTTCGGCGGGCTTAGACTCCTTTCTCAAGGCTGCCTCGATATCCTCTATTTTTTCTTGATGCTGGGATAACCGAGCACGTCAGCGCATTCATGCTTCGATTTCAGCGCATCCCTGTACCGGCCATCAAAAGTGTCAAGGTACACTAGCTGTTCCAGCAGTTCTGCTGCCAGAACAACTGAGTCTTTTGCGCCCAAGATCCAGGCCGTATCAGCCTGAGTTTCTTCTTTGTACGGGCTGTACTTGCTTCGTACGTGAGTGAAGCTGCTGAAAGCTGACCGCAGGTCTTCTTTGGTTTTGCCCGGAAACGTGCTTCCAGTGAGCCATTCCTCGAGCAAGTGGTTCTTCACGGCCAGCTTGAGCTTCAAGATTTCCACGTAGCCTGATTATCGCAAGTTATGGCAAAATTTAAGTTACCATATTTTTTGCATCTAGATGGTTATAATGATATCTATTACTATAAAAGCAAACTACTTGAAAATGAGCCCAGAAAATTTGATCACGAAGGTCCGAGACACTGTTCCGAGCGTCTCGCAGCTTGCTCACGGCGAAGAAGCCTGGCTCGACGAAGCCTTTGCGAAAACCATCTATCATTCCTTCCACTGCCCAAGTGATGTGCTGTGGGGTCTGTGCCTTGTCAATGATGGCTTGGAAAGCATAGATGCTGGACAGTGGGTTGCCCTTCAAGTACTGGGCATCCAGCTCCTCCAGCAAAACACTGCAAGCTGGAATACTCAGCAGTCTGTCGTGCACGGTTATGGCGCTGTCCACGAATGATTCCGAGATGATCTCGGAGCCAGCCGAAGCTTTCAGGTGCTTCTGATAGGCACTGGCCACGGCGGCAGCCCCCAGTGTAGTTTTCAGGGCAGCCTCCTTGCTGGCTTTGAAGCCTGCTACGTCGTAGATCCGCTGCCGCACCGAAAGCCGAACAGTGATGCCACGCTCAACCATTTCCTCCCGTAGGTTTTGAGCACGCCAAAATCTTGCTTCACCCTGTGGGACGAGCTCAAAGCGAAACGGTGTGGTGAGCAGCAGTTCTTTCCATCGACGAAGAATAGGTTCAGGTGCCTTTGCGGAGATAGCTTCGTGGATGGAAAACAACAGAGCATGGCAGGGCTCGGCCGGAGACAGCCGCTGAAAGCTGCCTTTCTTGTGAAATTCTTCGTCACAGGCGGCCGAAACAGCCGCAACGATTTCATACGTGAATTCTTTCGGTGGATCCATGGGCGGCAGGTAAAAGCGCTGGATTTCCTGCACCTGCCCCTTGTTGATCGGAACTCGATGGTTTGCCATCCAGACTTGATCGCACCAAAAGAAGTTCCCGCCGCAGGAGTAGTGGGCTGTGGCATCCCTCTGGAAGACCTTGACAGCTTGGCCGATCGCGAAAGGCTCTTGATGCCCGCCCTGAGCAATCGTGAGCGGTTCTGCCGCATCGATCCCGTCAAAAACAGAACAGTCGCGGATCGCTTTAAGGGCCTCGTGCACGCGGATCAAGTGTTCCGCGCACAGGTTGCCCTGAGAATTGTCCGCCCAGGCCGAATCAGCCATGGCCGTCACTCCTTCAATTGACTTGGCCTTTGCCTTTGCCTTTGCCTTTTCCTTGGGGTTTTTTTTCGGTGCCATTTCCACTTCAGCTGGCCACACTGGCCGTGTCAGCCAGGCTACAACCTTCTTTGTTTTGTCAGTTATGGCCGCTGCAGCCAGGAGTGGCCGAGGCAGCCAGGAATGTGTTTGCTTTGCAACTTGAGTTGTAACAGCTGCGGGTGGTTCTGATTCAGCATGCGTGGCTAAAAACATGGGTGCTAGGACTGTCAGACTTACGGTTCTAGAGCAATTTAGGGGTTATAAGGGTCTGAAGGCTTCGGAAGGATTGAAGCGTTAGGAAATTTTTCGCGAAACCTTAAATACGAGGGAAGTGTTCTAAGGGATTTAGGGTGCTCTAAGGGTAAGGATTTAAACTTGCGGGACATTTAGGGAATAAGGGGTTTAGGGACACTTTAAGTGAGTCATTAAACCCTATACCACCAAACCCTCCCACAACTTTTTTCCTTTCAGCGGCGGCGGTGCTGTTCGCACCGGTAGTCCCAGTCCAAAGACTGCTGTCGCTCGCAGCATTGGCGACACAGCTGTCCTGGGCAATATGCTCCAGGCTGATTCTTTTCACAGCGCTTGCAGTAAGCGGTAGCCGTCACTTTGGGACCTGTTGGACGGTTCCCACCGGCGGCGCGGTACGCCTCTGCTCGCTGCTTCTTCCTCGACATCCACTGCGAGTCCGGATGCCTTCCCTGCCAGGAAGGCTCCGGACTCCGACGTCCCTGCCAGGACGACGATGCCGCCTCTGCATTTCGAGCTGCCGTTTCAGCTCGCCGGGCGTAGTGGGTGGCCCGCTCCAGCATGTCCTCCATCTCAGAGAGGGCACGGCTGGATGGCACTTCGCTGTCACCGCCAGCCGTTTTTTTTTCCCACCCCCCCCACGAAGTCTGAGACCAGCCTGGGTTCGGCGTGAGCCGCACTGGCTGCGTGCCGGCCGGATCAGCCGGTGCGTCATCGTCTTTTTTGTCCTTTCGATCTTTCTTGTCTTTTTTTTCTTTTTTGTATGTTTTTTCTTTTTTGTCCTTCTTTGCGGCCGAATCAGCCGGTTTCTTAGCGGCCGGAGCAGCCGGTTTCACAGCGGCCGAAGCAGCCGGTTTCTCAGGGGCCGAAGCAGCCGCAGCAGACTTTGCGTTAACCACGTGAACTTGCAGCGAGGACGACGACGACGAGGCTTCGCGCTCAGGCTCCTCATCGTCGTCGTCTTTGTCCTCGTCTTCTTCCTCGCTGTAGTACTCGTAAGAGGACGATTTGTCCTGGTGGTCTTGTTTCTTTTTTTCTGCTTCTTGCTTTTTGTCGGCCGAAGCAGCCGATCTGTCCTTTTCCTTTGGTTCTTTTGGACGCTCGGCCGAAGCAGCCGACGATTTTGTCTGCACAGGCTTTGAGGGGGCCATCATGAGAAACCATCTCTTGACCGCGCCCGCTTGGTGCCAGCAGTGGGGAGGACCGAGTTTTGACAGCGCGTCCCAGCCATCCGTGCTGACGCCACACATCTCGGCCACTGTCAACCAACTGGTCGTTCTGATAACCCTCTCAGCGACATAAGTGTCCCATTGTGACCTGGTGTGGCGGTACCCAGCCTCACTGAACAGGATTAAGGGTTTCACGCTATGGAGGATGTCGTGACAGTGGACGGCGATGTGGTAGAGGCAGGCCGAGTTATCATCCACGGCGACACGGCATCCCAGGCTTCTCGCCTTGGGTCCTTTTTCGTGCCGGTCGGCGACAAGGTGCACTTGCCCGGCGGCTAAACCGAGCGATTCGCAAAAGCGAACCACCCAGTGGTTTTGGCTCTCGGGGAAATTCACCCGGCTGACCACCTGCAGCGAGGTCGCACCATAAGTTCTCATGAACTTCTGGCAAAAGGCATATGCCCCAGGGACCGCAGCCTTGTAGATATCATTGCCATCATGTTTTTCTTTCCCACGAGAGCTGGCCACCGACAGCACGCCTCCACAGTCCAACACGAGGCGTTCGATTACCGTTTCACCTTCCTCCTCGTCACTGTTGGCCGGAGCAGCCATTGAGTGGCCGAAGCAGCCACACTGGCCGGTTCAGCCAGGAGAGGCCGGAGCAGCCTGAAGCTTGGTGGCCGAAACAGCCACAAAGGACCACAAAGGCAAACAGAGGACGATTGACTACGCTACTGCTGCAAGCTGAGGTAGGCGCGGCGCGGGAGCTATCACTTCTAGTCTACGGCTGCAGAACATGCGTAAAACCTGTTTGGAAAGCAAAGTTTTTATGTCACTTTAACTGTAAATGCTCAGTTATTTCAAGCCGGAAGCGTTCGGAATAAAAACCTTGTGTGTTAAATCGTGTACAGAAATCCCTGGACGAGTTGGCGCTTTTTGTTTCGCAGCTCCTAGCCATTATGTTTTAGAGGCCTTGCTTCTACCACCTCACTACTTAATAGATTATTATACATTCATGAAATTTACACGCAAGGACGTCCCCGAGGCGAGTTGGTGGTTTTCTTTTGCTGCGCTCAGCGGAATTTTTTTGACAGGCTTTCCTTAGTTCTAGCTATCGCATCATGATTTTCTATTCGCAGGGACGTCCCCGAGGCGAGTTCGTGCATTGTTTCTTTGATGCGCTCAGCGGAATTTTTTTTGGCCGGCTGGTATTCCTAAGGAGAGGACAATTCGACCTCTCCATTCGCAGCTCAGGGACGTCCCCGACCGTCCTGTGGAGAGGGGCGTGGGGGGACAGAGTCCTTAGGAAATTGTTTGCTCAACGGAATTTCTATTTCGCCCTCTCACCACCCTCTCCTTTCGCAGTTCAGGGACGTCACCGGCCTGCGGGTGGAGAGGTCATTTCGTCTGCTCCTTCGGCCAGCCCGGGAGTAGTTCTGAGGAGATCAGCAGCCCTCCAAGACAGCCCTAAACCCCAAAAAATCTAATCCCAAAGTTAAGCATAAATCCTAAACCCTAAAGTCCTTAAAGTTCACGCCGCAAGCCCTAAAACTCTAAACGTTGCAGCCCTACCTAGACCCCTAAACCCGTAACCACTAAGTTATCCTTTACATCCTAAACCCTAGAACTAGCTTTACCTCATACTTGATTTTAAGGCTCAAGTTTATTTCCTAGACACTGCAGCCTTCAGCCCGAAACCATAAGGCGACAATGTTCATGAGATCTAAAGCCCAGACCTTGAAGCGAAGCCCTATAATTTATACCTGGTATGCAAATAAAGAATCCGAAATACTTGTTTTGCAAGCCAGCCACGCGGACCGTGCTCAGACAGCTCCTAAGCTTCAAAAGACCTAAGAAGCACCGTGACATCGCAGCCGATGCAGCTGATAGTCGTGGGCCGAAGCAGCCCAAACACTCAAAAGCTTCTAAGTATTTGGAGCTCAAGCTTGCAGCTTCGTGAAGGCCGAGTCAGCCTTTAAGTTGAGCCCGAGGGATTGTCGGATTGGGTCGCATCTTGACGACGAAGCTCGTCTCGAACTACAGCACAGCCGCGGAGTATCATTTGAGCATCGAAAAGCTGTCCTTGCGCTTGGCCCAGCGTTCGGTCTAAGCTATGTTTCTCTGCTGTCTCGAACCTCGTCAGGGCAGTTATACGACGCAAGAAATCAAGGCTCTGGCATGCCCTGTCAAAATGGAATGCCGCACTGTTCCATTCAGCAGGAGGCATCCAGCGCATAGCTTGAAATGCCCTGCAACTGATATTGCTGGGTGCCGGTTCTATCCGTTGAGGAAGACTTGAGTGCACTACTACGGATGGCGCATCGGACATTTCGTCCTCGTCCAAGCCACCGAGAACCAAAGTGATGCCGTCGGCCAGGTTGACGACGGCATGGCAGGCCTCTGACTCTGCGTCCGTTTGCGCCATCCAAACGTGGTACTGCACCGCCATGTCTCTCAAGTTTGTCAGCTCATCCAGCCAGTCTTGTATATCGTAATCATCCCTAAAGTGTTTTTCTTCGATATCTTCTCTCATTTTACGAGCGAAAACCAATGGTGCCGAAGCAGGCAGCGGCATGAGCCCAGCTTTCCACTGCAGCCAGGCCTGGCCGATGTTGGACGGCCGATTCAGCCGTTAAAGCAACAGATGCTGCCGGCCGTTTCAGCCGTTCGGGCGGCCGATTCAGCCACAAGGCAACGCCGCTACACCTAAGGTTCCCAGCTGTGATCGAAACGGCAGCAGCAGATAGACAAATCTCAAAGTGTCAGTGATCAATGCAAGCTCCAAGACTAGGTTTAGGGTTTTACGAAGCGGACAGTAAATGATTTTGCATTAGAATAATTTAATAATAGTATATCACACACACACAGAGAGCTTAAATTACATGCATCTTATAAACTTACATGACGGCACACTCAACAGTTTTGCAAACTTGACGGCGACAACGTTTGAGAGCACGGGTGCGAAGACAGCGTACCCGGACGGCCGATGCAGCCAAAGCACAGGCCGAGGCAGCCTTGACTTAGAGCCGAAGCAGCTCTGGCGTCTAAGTCTCCTTTTGTCCTTTGGGCACAAACAACAAGCCTCCTGCTTTCATGGCCTGCGTCAGCACTCCTAAGATGAGGGGCACAGGGATGCTGTTACCCAGCATGCCGCCGAGTTGAGCATCGCTGATGCCTTCTTCTTTGTAGCCACGGAGTTCGATGGGGTTGATACCCGTCACTCGCATCAATTCATTGATCGTCATTTTGCGGCCTCGGTTGGACAGCCAGTGGCCGCCACAGCTGCCTCTTGATTTTGTCAAAGTTTTCAATTGGTTCACGCCGTAGGAAGCAAATCGGGGAGAGCAGTCAATGTCCACGGCAACTGGGACCTGTCTGGGATCTAGCTTTTGTTTCTTCCAAACTTGGCCGTAAGCAGCCAACGCAAGGTCTCTAGCCCTTTTCGTCTTCGGCAGCCGCCCGGGCCGGTCGCTTGGCCTCGCTGGGTCCAAGTCATCCTCCAAGTTTCTTTTTCCCACAGGTTGCGGCCAGTGAAAGGGATGGTGGAGGCTGTCCTTCCGGATCGCAACTAAGAAGAAACGACGACGGGCTTGCGAGACCTTGAAGTCTGCGCTGTTCAAGACTCGCGCGAAGCAAACGTAGCCAAGCTTCTTGAACGCTCGCTGCAGTCCTCGGGTTACTGGCTTGAATTTTTTACTTGCGAACATTGCCACGTTCTCAAGCACCACCACTCTTGGCTTTTGGCGAGAGACAAAAGCAACGCTAAATTTTAGCAGTTGCCCCCTCTTGTCTTTGAGGCCTTTCTTTTGTCCAGCCATGGAAAACGGCTGACATGGCGGTGTTGTTACGTAGAGGTCCACGTACTGTTCACTTTGCGGCTTCCTGGCTGCAATGTCGTCGTGAAAGGCCTCAGGCTTGTGGATCTTTTGCAGCAGCTTTTTGCAGTTAGCATCACTGTCACTGTTAAAGCAAAGCTGAGCTTTTACTTTCATGCGTTTCAAGGCCAGCCAGGCGCTGTCCAAGCCTGAGAAGTCTGATCCAAATTTCACAACTCGTGGAACCCTTGTCTTTTTCGTGTTCGCACTTTGTTTCGGCATGGCAGGCCGAAGCAGCCGGTTTTGCCGAGAGACGACAGGCCGAAGCAGCCGGTTTTGCCAAGAGACGGCCAGGCCGGAGCAGCCGACAGCTTTTAAATTTTATCTGTGAATTGAGCCAAAAGCATCGATATCACAACATCACTACATGAAAAATGATTGATTTTATTTTAGATAACGATAAGCTAAGAAGCTAGGAGATATAAAGCTTAGTGAACTTCAGAAACCGAGTCAAGAGAACGGCCATGCAGAAGCCAGCTTCATTTGAATTTTGCGTCACGTCAGCGCAGAGCCACTTCTGGAGAGGCCGGGGTCAAAGCTGTTGCAGATGCGCTTTGGCAACGACCGCATCGTGAACACATTCGGGAGCCCTTGAATGTCCTGGTGATTTCGCTGGCCGGGAAGGACGACAACCCAGACGTTTTTCTTCGGGAAGCGTCCGTGTGCTGCTCGAATGGCGGACAAAGCCGTTTTGGCCATTGTCCACTTGTGATTTTCCGGCAGGCAGCTTCGCAGGAATCTCCAGAACTTAGGACATTTTTTGGCGCATGCCTTGGACACAATGAGCACTCGCTTGATCGCAGCAGCCGCCCGCCTCTTCAGTACCGCGCCCTGACCAGTCAGAAAAAATGAAGGAGCGACTTCATAGGAACCTTGCAGCCCAGCAAGCAATCGAAGCCGCGGGTCTTGCATATGTCCGGGCTTGGAACAAACAATAACTGTCGCTGCGGACGCTTGGTTCGTGACCGCAAGGCCCATGTCTGATATTCCCTGCACTAAGTGCATATTGGCCGGAACAGCCAGATAAACTTTCTTTCCTGCCCAGGCAGCCTTTAAGTCGGCTCGCGAGCAGCCTTTTTCTGCCCGAAGCATCTTTCTTTCTTTGGTTCGACGGGCGGTTTCCCTTTGTATCATGTTTTTGTGACATGCTTCGGATTCTTGCTGCATACCATCCTCTATTTCGCGTTGCAGCAAAGAATTCTCGGAGAAGGCTTGAAGCTTTCGCATCTTCCTCTTCCTCTGTTGAAATTCCAGTTCCTTCTGGTGCTTTTGTGTCCAAACTTGCTCGTGCAGGTCAAGAGCAACCTCAGAGTTGCCTTCCATGCGCCCAGCAGCCAGCGCCTCACCACGTCGGCGCTTGCGCAAAAAAGCAGCCTCCGTTGCAGGCTTAGCTTCTTCGTCGTCTTCGGTTTTTCTTTTGCTGCCTTTGTCTACCCTTTCAGCCGTTGATGACCTTGACTGGCCGAAGCAGCTCACCCAGGTCAGCCGAGCCAGCCGAATCAGCCGGTCTTTTTGCGAGGCCGCAACAGCCGGAAGGTCAAGTAAAGCCTTGACTGAAAATTCCTCAGTGGAATGAAGAGCAGAATTTCTGCGTGTGCCAAAGCCCCATTGGGACTTTGAAAAGCTTTGTTCAACACCGGAACTGCTGGCCCCAAAAGAAAAGTACTGGATCAATGCTTCTCTGAGGATTTCGACCGGGTGTTGGCCTTTCGTATAGTGATGTTGGCATAAACGGTCCAAAGCCAAGGCCCATGCATCTTTGTTCTTGGCATTCATGTCCGTGCTCTGTTTCAGAAGCCTCTCGGCGCGTGGATAAACATCCCGCCACTGTGCTTTCAGCGCCTGCTCGTCCAGGTTGCAGGCTTTGGCGACCCGCTGGAGCTTCTCGTCGGCGTTGTGAGAGCCACCGCTGAGGTCGAACACGTCGAAAGCCTGTGGCTGGCACAAAGTACATCATCAATAGTCTTATTATTGTTGTTTTATTAGTGAAAGCAACAAAAAAGCAACCACGTCTAAGATAATTAATTCAAAAATCAATATAGTAGCAATGGAAACAATAGGGGTTTAGGGTTTAGGTAACGTTCAGAAAATCACCCGGCCTGAGCAATCTCGAAGGAAGGAAATTCCGCAGCTACCGCCGCTTCAGCAAGTTTAAGCCATGCTTGCATCCTGGCCAGGCACCGCTTTTTGATCTCCTCGGGCACACCGCTGCTGTCACCAAAGCTTTTCGTTTCAGAACCCAACTGAAAAACGATGGGTGTTTTCAGTGTCTCCAACATCGTCGATGTAAAGCCAAATTCCGTAAAGCAAGCACCATGCAGGAACAGTCCCTTCACAGAAGACATATACAAAGACACCTCGCGGCACAGCATGGCCGGATCAACGCTCTCAGTGTCCATCAGCCGAGTCAGCCGAATGGACGAGTCGGCCGCATCAGCCAACATCGCTGCCAGAAGAGCCCGTTCTTCCGACAGCCACAAGAGCCATGCCTTTGCCTTTTGCCCACTTGCGTCGCTGCGAGTCTTGGTAAGGCGCAGAGCTGTTCTGATACAAGCATGAATGTAGAGGCATGTGCGGCCAAGTGGTTTAGCGTGTGATTCGAAGCGATGTGCAGCAGCACGAAAATCGGAGACTGCCCGCTTTAGCACCGTGTCGGTGCTCGTTGTAAATTCCACGAATATACGCTTGATTTCTTCGCTAAATTGAAGCAACTTAGCAATAGAATGCCGGCCGCCGCACATGAACTGCATAACATCTTTAAGCACATCATCCGCACTCCAAGGACGAGACGTAATTCGGCGACTGGCGTGTGCCTTGTCACGAACCACGAAGCGAAGATTGGGAGTCAGCTTCTGTTGGCTGCCGTTCCACGCCGAAGCACGCATGAGCTCAGAGCTCAGAACTTCATCTGCGGCGGCGTCAACTGCGATGCAAGTAACAGACTCTGTAAGGTGCTTGAAGAGTTTCACTTTCAGGAAAGGTTTTGCCTTCTTGTCTTTGCGTGATGAGTTGGGGCAGCCTGCGAAGCGTGTGCAAAATCGTTTCATGATCTTTCGAGTCGCTTCAGTAATGTTCCTCGCCCCTGTGCCTGGCTGGATAGCCAACCCCATGGTGCCACTTCGGACAAGCAGGTTTTTGTCAACAGCCCGGAATCTGAGCAGCAACCGTCCTTTTCGCTCGTCTCTGAAAAGACACACCTTTGAAGCCTTGGCCACGAAGTCCTGGTCTAGAGCTTTTGCGGCTTCAGCCAAGCAAAAAGTCATTTGCCTGTTCTTTCTGCAGCCAGGAGGCCTTCCAGCCGAAATCTCGTCTATAAGTGCTTGAAAGCTCTGAGGTGGGGGAGCTCCAACTGCAGTGGAGCTGGAACCGCCCACAAACTGTGACACTGCCTCCTTGTGGCTTGCGCTCTTCTGATGCTTCAAGAAGTTCTGCATCTGGAGGCCAGCTGTCGTCCTCACCCCGTACTGGGCAAGGCTGCCTGTGAGTCCAGCTGCTTTGCAAGCTTTGCACCCAACACCCCAAGGTGCGAGCTTCACATCCAGCCAAGTCCCATGGCCAGGCAGCTTGCATGCCTGCTGCCACTTCGAGCGCAAACGGGCCCACTTCAGTTGAGCCTCTTTTTGATTGGCCGTATCAGCCATTTTTTTATTGGCCGCATCAGCCATTCAAAGCCGGGTCTTGGATTGAGCGCTGCGTCTGCTTGACAGGCCGAAGCAGCCCGATCTGAGGCCGAAGCAGCCTCCCCCCATGGGCGAGTCTGAGTCTAAGCAGCCAGCTTGGAGCCCGAGAAAGGCAAATATTTTGTCCCAAGTTGGAAATATCTTCTGGTTTGGAGTCCGAAGCTGCATGTATCATGCGACGACAAATCATGCTGGTAGATACTCCTAATCACAATCAGAAGCACACCCTTAAGAAATGAGATGTGGAAAAGATGATAAACTCACAAGTGCACACAGTGGCAGCGACGCAAAAGCTCAGTCTGGTCACTTCGTCGGTTAACAGATAGGCCGAGGCTCAAAACAGCATGAAAACCGCAGACACGATTTAAACATATTGAAGCGCACCCTGAAACTGAAGCATTAAAGACACTTAAACTTAGCCTGAGACCCAGAACCGTTGCATTGTTACTATTTGTTGTGTGTTGTTGTGGTTAGACCAACTTGGTAGTAAGTTAGTTAGCTAGCCAGCTAATCAGCTACCTAGCTATTTAGTTAGCTAGCCAGTTGGCTGGCTGGCTGGCTGGCTGGTTGGCTGGTTGGCTGGCTGGTTGCTTAGTTGGTTGGCTGGTTGGCTGGTTTGCTGTATGGCTGGTTGGCTGGCTGGCGAAGTTGGGTTGTTTGTTTCTGCTTGCTTGTTTGTTTGTGTACCTGTTTAGTTCGTTTGTTGTCTGTTTGTTGTTGTTGGCCTGGTCATCATTGATGCTGCTGTTGTTTGTTCGTGTGGACGTTGTTGGTGTTGCTGTTATTGCTGCTGTTGCTGATGCTGATGCTGACGCTGAAGCTGTTGTCGTTGTTGTTGTTGTTGTTGCTGTTGAAAGTGGTGGTTTTGTAGGTTGTAATTGAGATATTTTCTTTCCTCGGTTTGATGGCCTCCCCGAGACCGGGAAAAAGAGCAGGTTGTGCAAAAAAGATATTTTCCAAAAAGGTCTCCAAAAAAAATTCCAAAATTCCGCTGAGCAAAGGCAAGTAAGGCAGCCCGAGAGGCTACTGGGAAAACAAACAGCACGCTCAGTGAAGCGCGTTGCTGCCCGCAATTTGTTGGTTAATTAATTACTGCAAAAAAAAAAATTGCCTTAGTAAGACAGCCCCAGAGCCCACTGGGAACAAACAGCAGGCCGAGCGCAGTGCGTTCTTGCCTGCCACTTTGCGGAAACTGCAGTGAACCCAGTGCACTCCTCTGGTGTGCGCATTGCGCTGCCTCTGTTGGTCTTCGTTCTGGGGACCGCTTGCGTTCCGCGCGTGAGCGCTCTCGTGTAGAAGCCAAGGCCATTGGCTCTTGCTTCTTCCCAGGCCCCGTGCCAGAGGCCGGCCGGCGCAGGCAGTCTTCTATTAACGGACTTGTTCTCGCCGAACACGGCTTGGCGCTAGACACGGCCTGGCCCAAATCCCTGCCAGTGGCAGCCCGCTGGAAACCTGCCCCCGGTCTAGTAGACCACGCGCCGCACTCAGCACAGAAACTCCGTTTGCCGTGGGGCAGCTCCAGTGGCCCAGTCGGCCCCAGCCCCGCCTGGAGCTTTCGCCCAAGCTCGTGCCAGCAGTGCCGGCCACACCGCAAGCAGCTGCTCCAGCAGATGCCTTGCTCACAGGGGCTTCTTCCAGTGGAAGTCGTGCGGAGCCCGTGGTTCCCAGCCCAAACCAACCGTCAGAGACGGTCTTGGTTTCGGCTCGCCCACCCTGGACCGGGAGCGGTCTAGGTGAGGTCTGGGACAAGGAATGTCTTGGACGAGGCATGCAGCTGTCAGTGATAGACGTCGCAGCGCGCTCGTCTCTACACAAGGCCGTGATAGTATCAACAGGCAGTGGACATGGAGGAAACTTTGCAGTGCAGAGCGGCCTTCTTTCGAGTCCCCGCCGACAGCAACATAGCTGACGGTCCTAGCCTTAGAGGCTAGCAGTAGCGGAGAACAACTGACTCTGTGACGTTTTAGGTTCACAGTTTTCAGGCCTCGCAGGCTCTGCTCGCGCTGTCTTCACAGTGGGTTCACATCATCCGGCTTAGTAGCCTCTGTTTCTGCATCTGCCTCGTAGGCACGCGCCAGTGGCGGAAAACAGCTGACTCTGTGACCTTGTAGGCTCACAGTTTCCAGACCTAGTAGGCTCTGTTTAAGCTGCCTTTACGGTGGGCACCAATAGGCCCTGTTTTTCTTTCCCTTTGATAGGCACGTGTTCGTCCGTGCAGGAAAAGGGCCGATAGCTGTCTTTGTGACCTAGTAGGTTTACAGTTTTCGCGCCTGGTAGGCTCTGTTCGCGCTGGCTCCAATTATCCGGCTTAGTAAGCTTTGGTTTTGCATCGCTAAGTCTGCGTGGGGCATCCCAAGGGGCCCAGTCGGCCCCAGGCCCGCCTCTCGGCTTCGAAGAGGTTCGGGAAGTCTCGCCCAGGGTCTTTCCGGCAGTACCGACCGCACCGCAAGCACGTGCCTTAGCAGAGGCGTTGCTCACAGGGGCTTCTTCCAGCGGGAGTCCTGCGGGGCCAGTGGCCCCCGGCCCAGACCAACTGTCAGAGACGGTCGTGGTTTCGGTTCGCCTACCTCCGGTTGAGATGAATGTCTGGGGCGAGGCATTCAATTGTCAGGGGCAGAAGTCGCCAAGGCCTGCCGGCCTGGGTCGGCTTCCCGCTTGTGTGCCCGGTAGGCAGGTTGTTTTCAAGCAGGCCTGCTGGCCTCTAGCCTAGCAGGCTTGTGTTGTGTCTCGTCACCGGTAACAGAGAGGAGACTCTTGCAACCTCGCAGGCCCGCGGGATTTAGGCCCCCCAGCGGGGTTCATTAAGCGTCGTAGGTCTCACGCGCCGAGTAGGGAAACGATCGTCAAAGGCAGATGTTGCCAAGGCCTACTGGCGCGAGGCCTAGTCGGCTCTCGTTAACGTGCCTGGTAGGCACGTTATTCTACGTCAGGCCTAGTAGCCCCAAGCCTCCCTGGCTTGTTGTTGTGTCATCGCGATGTGAATCGTCAGTGAAAGTGATCACAGGAGACTTCTGTGGCCTTGTAGGCTCCCAGCTTCAAAGGCAACTGGCCCCAAACCTAGTAGGATTCTCCTTATGTCTGCCCAGTCGGCGCGTGGTCATCACTGGCAGAGAGGTCTTCACTGGTGTCCCTATGGCCTTGCAGTTCACAATTTTCTGGTATGACAGACTCAGGCCTAGTAGGCCTCTTGTTCTGTCTGCCTGGCAAAAGGAGCGCCCACAAGTGACTCCTGAAACCTTGTAGGCCGCCAGGCCCTAGGCCTAGTAGGCCTGCCCTGTAGCGCCGTCGCGCGAGGTGCTGCTTAAATTGCACTTCAAATGGTCGCGTTTTGCTGACTTTCCTGTCCCAGGGTCAACTGCGAGTCCCTAACGGCCCGCTGCGAGTCTCTAAGGGCCCCACAGCGAGAGCCCAGTGGCCAACCATGCGGTTTTCTTGGCGGCAGCATGCGCCCTGCAGTGCCCTGCCTAGCCCTGCGCACAGCAGTGCTGCCAACCACGCCGCTTGGGACTCTTGCGCGGAGTCCGCGCCGTGCCCTGCAGTGTCTGCAGCACTGGTTCAACTGCGCCTTTGGCGGCGCGACTGGCGCGCGAACAGCAGTGAAAGTAACGCTTTCACTCCATACGCCAGGGCAGTGCCCCGGAGATCTGTTACTTACCAGGGCGGTGCATCGACTGACCTCAGTGAGGCTTTAGGTGCTTTCCTTGCTGAATTGCCTCAGTGAGGCAGTTGTAAAACTGCTGGGAGCAATCTGGCAGAAACCGCAGCTCGTGTTCCACCCTATCTGCTCAGCCTCAGTTGAAGCGTGCTGAGCTTTGGAAGGCTCCGGTGGAAACTGTTTTCTACCGCACCTGACTCACAGTGCGGGCAGGTGGTTTCAAGCCTAAATTTGCTCGTAAATGGCGAACCTTTTGGTGCAAGGACCCGCTGCGAGTCCCTAAGGGCCCCTGCGAGCTGCTAAGGGCCCCCTGCCCGCTGCTTTTCTGTGGGCTCGCGTTAGTAATGACGAGCTTCTGTGTTGCTTTAAGACAGCGCCGCGCAGTGCGCGCACAAGGCCCCAGAGCCTGATGTTACTTGCACTGCTGGCCCCAACCGAGACTGGGGGAAGAACATTGCACATCAAACGCAGTGCGCTGCTCTGCCGCGCAACGCGCAACGAAGGGGCTTGTATCACCCGTTCGTGCCCGCTGCTGCAGTGCAGCAGCCGCCGCTTCTCAGCTCTGGGAGGCACAAGTGCAGACTCCTTTCTCCAGCACCTGTCTCACAGTGCGAGCAGGTACTTTTAGTCCTTAAATTGCCTGCAAATGGCCGATTTTTTGTTGTACAAGCCCGCTGCGAGTCCGTAAGGGCCACTGCGGGTTGCTAAGGGCCCTCTCCCTTGCTCTTTTGCAGGCATAAACGTCGTGTGAATCCCCACGTCTGTTCCCCAAGTGCGGCCTTGGAGCAGTGCCCATAGGCAAGGGAATCGCAAGCACCCTGGGGGCTACAGATTAGCCGCCACGTAGCGACCCAGTGGGTCGCTAGAGCTCAGAAGCAACAGCTCGTTTCGAGTGCGAGCTGCTGCCATACTTGCTGAGCCTACAGTTGTGGGCGAAGCACATAGCAGGCAGTGACCTGTTCGTGTGGATTGACAATGACGCAGCGCGTACATCCCTACACAAAGCCTTCACAAGCAAGGCGGCAGGCGCCGCGATAGTATCGCAGGCAGTCGACGTGGAGGAGTCCCTGCAGTGCAGGGCTGCTTTCTTCCGCGTGCCCACCGTCAGCAACATTACTGATGGCCCCAGCAGAGACTGGTGGGAAGAGACTGAGAAACTTGGCGCAGAGCGCTAATTCCTTCCTCCCAACGCAGTGCTGTTGGCCTTGTCACTCGGCGCGGACTAGATGGGGGGTGAGTAAGGCTTCGAGTGCCTTGAAGGGGGGTGAACCAGTCGTTCGCCTTACCTGCGACCAGCGGTCGTTCT